ATAACATTTAAACATGAAATAAAATGCTTTTTGTATTATCCAATGTTTGAATTTATGTAACTCATGTGTTATCTCGATCGCACAAAAGCTTAAACAATATTAAGAAATTCTACATTTACAAGACTCGGAACGTGTTAGTAATTTATAATATTGAACATGCTATCCCTGTGAGCCAAATAAAGTTGTTACATGCTCTCTTGAACATTTTATTTGATTTAAAATATTCAAAATAAAGGTACAGTAACGAACAAAGAAAAGTAATAAAACTCAGACGTCCCAAAGTCTTTGTGGAAACAATGAAATTGTGCAGGAAAAGTCCTTGTGCCAAATAAACGTTTCAAGAGAATTTGTAATTTTACAATAAACATTAGAAATAAAGTGATAGAGGATTTTTCTTTTTTGTTAAAGGTTTTTTTTAATTACTTGAAATGTAACAAATCCGACGTATTTGGTTATCAAAACTTAACGTGTCAAGTACTACATATATTTAAATTATTTTTTTTAATGAGACGACAGCAATGCTGTTGTTAGATACTAGTACTATTTTCAGAAGCCGTGTTACTCATATTATTTCGCAACAAATCACGTTTACACAGGAGCAATATTTTATTTGATCCATAGTTTGCTTTTGTAATTTGACGCATTTCCTCCTGGAATACCCTTGAACTACTATGTACTCGCAGTCTAAGTTTTTCATATATACTAGTTATTACTCTCACTATTTTATCTTCTATATTGAATCGAGATGAATAATGAATTTAATTATAATTTTTACCAATTATAACATGAACTTTAGTTATTAATAGGATGATCACCGAATCTTTGTTACTTAAAATTATATAAGAAGGTTAACTTATTGTCATTTGTTATTTGGTTACTGTTTAAGTTCTTGTTCTATTTATTTTTATATCCTGACGAAAGATTAATTGAAATAAAAAATAACACAATTGAAGTTAGCGTTCTAACAAAAAAAATGTACGGTGCTTGCATTTCAATTAGACTTTATTGGGTCGGTTTTAAGGCTTCTGTGTTTCAAAGGACAAAAACAGAACTATTAAGGTATCACTTTGTTGTCTCTGTCATTATATGAAGACAATAGATATAAACTAAGTAAATGTTTTTTAAATAATAAAATGTTACATTGTTATGTTTGGCTTATCATAATTATGTAGAGCCTGTTAAGATACAGTCTACATATTATTATTTAAAGTATACTAATTAGAATATGTGAATTTACTACATGAAAATTTCTACCAGTTATGAAGTACAATTATGATCATTCATTAACGTAATAAGCCGCATGTAAAGTTTTCTTTTATAGAGTTAAGTGTTAGAGTAAATTAATTTGACAAGTCTTGATTAACTACTTCCTAATTAAACCGATTTATACAGCCAATAACACATTTTATAAATTATCTAGGCCTATGGTATGATCTAAAATTATGAAACTATAGTAACTTTTCAATTCAAAAGATGTTGACCTCTTACAATAAAAATACTGAAACAGACGCATAGTCTTGGAGTTTCTTTAAAACATCAAAAAATAATCGAAGGACACCCTTTGTAGATAACGGTAATATTACGCTTATTATAAAAAGATTATGAAGTGAAATAGAATTGGCTTGTAAAAATATTTATTCAATATGAAACTACAACTTTAACAATACGAACAAGCTTAACACGTGTATGCTTTTACACAGTAATAAATGGAGTGCCATAATGAAGTTTTTCTAGAGGAGTCCTCTTTCTAATCCTATATCCCCCAGATGGGGCAGAGGTCGTCCACAGTACGCCGCCATCCCGTTCGGTCTTGAGCTTCGCCGTTCATGTCGCTCCAAGTCTTCCCGATGTTTTTGTCTTCTGCAGTGATCTTCCGCCGCCACCTCTTCCGTCCGCGCCGTCCGCTGTCCGCCGCCTCTTTCTAAAAGAGTAAAGTAGACTAAATAAAATGCAAGCTGGATTAGTATATTGAAATGGGAACTATCCAAACAAGTGTCCCGACGATCAGACCATTAAATGAGCAAATGCGTTGTAGAACGCTTAGCAACATTATAGATTGAACAAATGTCTGACTAGTGGATGGCGGTTGGACGCGGGTTACTTCGGTAGGCGAAGTTCGGAGAAGGTTTTCGATCACAAGTTACAGCCGATAGGCTGAAACTGAAATAGAGATAAATATGGAGGTGCAAAATTATCACAAAAAATAGACTCTTCGTCTATTTTTACCAATGTCAAAGTTAGGTAAATGAGATCATTAAAATACAAAAGTCACGTATAGTATCTATAAAATATTTAATGTTTATTTAATATTTATTAAAATAGACACCATTTTAAAAATTATTCCATTATTTCTATGTTTATACATTTGAAGGCAATATACTGATAATTATGTCTGATTATTACTTGAGATACGAAAAATAATTTATAATATATAGATATTTTTTCCGCAACGTGTTAAAAAGTAAAGTGATGATCAAAATAGTATTTTATTTGGTTTCTTTCCCTGAATTTTAATTTAGTTTTCTACAACTTTTTTGAACTTTTCTATATTGATCTCTATTATAATCTGTATTTATAAATATATGCTATAATGTTTAAACAACCAAATAATTTTTCAATCTTAATTTAATTTAGTGGTTGTCATAAACACAATAAATTTAGATGTTAGACAGAAAAATAAATGTAAGTATTTCAACATCTGGTATACTTTATATTGCAGATGGAGCAGATGGTCGTGCACACAATAAATATTCATTCTCACTTTATACTTTTCTGTTCTTTCTGAATAACTTCATACTCGAATCCTGAGAGAATTGTTTTTTTGAAAATAACATGTTTCTTGTGAATTCCGGTTTGATATAGACGTATACATGGAAAATATATTTATTTGTAAAATATATTATTTTCACTTTTTAAACGTGACGAAATTATTTCATAAAAACATATAATTATCTCCTTTTTATAAATGAATTATAAATTTAATTAAAATTTGAGAAATATAAAAAGACAATTCATCAAAATTCTTATACATAAAATTAATACAGATGCGCACGAAAGACAGACAGACAGACGGCACACAACCATTTTGGTCCGCACGACCAGATAGTAAGTGGTCAATGTCACCCCTGGATATTTACAGCACAAAAGTAAATATGATATCCGCCTTAAAGATGGTTAGAGTAACTGTCACTATGATAATTATAAAATTTATACTAAACACTACATTAACATAAAGGTTTTTTGAAAAAAACTTATTGAGACATGACATAGTCAACGAATCTCCAGGCAGGATAAAGAAACACTCAAGCTTTGTTTGGAGCTGATTACAAAGAGTTTTGTGAAATATTTTTTATTATATTGCACATTTCTGTCCTTTATTCATTTTACAATCTTTATTCTTATATTAAATGTATGCAAAATGTTATTTCAAGAGGAAATGCAACAACGTCATTCGACTCACAGGAATACCGAGTTGAATTTAAAATACGAGGAAAATACGAGTTTTATGAAACATTCCATGATATTGTTTTAGCTTAAGAGATGTCAAAAGGACGCGAGGATATAAAAATACATCATATTTACAGATCGTATCATAGCTTCACTTTTAATTAAGTTCCTGTATTAAATTACATTTCTTATAAGTACATATAGATTAAGTTATTTATACAGATCCAAGTAAACATAAATTAAAATAGAAGTGATTCTTAAACTTTAAATCATTTTATATTATATCAGTTCTTAAAATGAAAACATTCCATTCTTATTCTATTTATTTTGAGAGAAACTTGCATATAAAAATACAGTAGACTAAATCTATGAAACACAAACAACAACAACATGTATTAAATTGTACATATAAAGTAGTACACAAAACATGTTATTTTATTTAGTTTTGAAATTTTAAAGAGATAAGTCATAAATTATATTTATTAAAAACGTCATGAACGAAGAATAGAAGCCATAAAATAACTTAAATGTTTTAGTTTGGCTAAAATATATTACAGTACATATTGTAAGTCTTCAGTTAACTCAGCTTTTAAAAATCGAGGGTACCCGTTATGAATAAGAAACTTATAAATATACTACAATGTTGTTACTGTCATAAAGATTAACATTTTATATCTTCAAAACTATACTGAAAATTTAAAAGTAACTCAAATACAAATTTTCAGTTGTTACAACAAAGTAAATGTTAAAATTTGTTGATATTTGTATTTTTATACAATGTATTAAGTAGAAGTCATGAAAGATGTTTTCATTTACAGTTTTGAATTGAAAAGTAAGTTAGAAATATAAAATAGGATTAAATTAGGATATGAGTTTAGTTTATTTTGAATAGAAGCTATTCCATTATTTTATTTTTGAGTTACTCTAAGATTACGATTTCATATGCCAAAAAAAAGTGCATATTATCTAGAGGTTGCCTTTCATTTAACTCTTCTAAAGTAGGGTACAGTTCGTTCGTTAACTTTTATTTTTAAATTTTTAGTTAGTGGTTATGTTAATTATGTCGACTACAGCCGGAGGTTCCAAAAAAAAAAACAAAATTTACTTATAATTACTTTATTCTAAAGACAACCTATCGTTACATGATTGAACGAAGAAGTGATTTTATAATTTTAAAACTGATTTACAATGACTCGGGAAGCCGTGGTGTTCTCTTTCTGCATTCCATTCCCATGGATTACGCGGTGTCAGCATTCGGTGTTTAATTTAATAATTTTATGTTCACATAACATAACACCTCCCCCCGTAGAACGGTGACTGTTGAAGAACCTTGTTCGAGAGAGACGCCGAGATGTTGCTGTGATCGACCCTTATGAGATGTGGGTCAATTTCTCTTCCTTCATATGCTTCTTGAGCTCGTCCTGGGCTTGTATCTATTTTCTTGACACTTCTAGATCTTAGTTTCCGAAGTATAAGTACGATAGTTAGGGTGATCGTACAAAGCAGCACAATGACGTACAAAGGAATAGTTGTATGATATACATATGCTGGAGTCATCTACGTTTTCTATTTAAACTGGATGCTGGAGAGATATCTTCGAGTTGATGGAGTGTAAAGTATGGCGTTTTCATGTAGCAATTGATCGGGATAACTGCGAGGAAGCTTCCTGAGAGGGTTCGATAGTGTACTTGTCCACAGGATAACTGGACTTTTGTAGGTGTTGGAAAACTAAGAGTGTAATGCTCGTCGTCTAATTGTTCAGCAGCTGCTCTTATCACTGAGGTCATTTTACACGTCTCGTGAAGCTCTTGCGTAGCGATGAGATGTTGGATACAGTCGGACTCGTTTCTCGTTCTATAGTTAGCATTGGTGTTACAGAGGAACCATGAGTTTACCTTTGGACATTCAGTCTCCATGTACATAGAATCTTGTCTAGAAAATGCTATATAAGGTAAGGTGGGGACAAGTACTTTATGGTATTTGTTAGGAACGACAGGTAACTTATAAAGGTCATAGGTTAATGGATAGACAATCGGAACCTTAACCACTATAACTATTTGCTTATTTAAGTAAAAGTAACCTAATTTTATAATATCGTAAAAATCCCTAAAATCTATGTTAAGAACCTCATCACTTAAGTACAAGGATCTTAGTTTTATTACTAAATTCTTAAGTTCATCTAAGCTTATAATAGAATGCGGTGTGCTCGATGCACGTATGAAAGCTAAACTATATTCTAATCTATTTAGCTCATCGTATATATCTTCGGTGTTATCTCCTAATATAACTAGATGCTGTGCCAGATGGGCGTATTTAATTAAATCATTGTCCTTTTCATTATCACTCTGTATGATGACGTCAACTATTTTACTGAGTTTACTCTGATTCTCAATTATATTCTCTATTACCTTCGTGTTACGTAACATCCAATTTTTTGGTGAATGTAATATGATCATTATACGAGTTTTCTATTTTATGTTTATTACTCTGAAGAATTTTAATTGCTTTATCTTATTTGATGGCATCTGAGTAGCCTAGATTACCATTTGAATTTATAGTTCGGGCGGCCGGCCTTTATTTAAAATACCGTTTAAAAGCGCTAGATTGCTTAATTCAAACTCTGGCTCAGCCCTTATATATTGCCTGAGTAACTGGTCACATAAATGAATGAATAATGTTAATACGTTTGAATTTCCGTCAAACTCGGGAACTAGTCGAAGAGCTTTAAAAATTTGATCTACAAGTGCGTCGGACATTTTTGAAATTGTAACGGTTAAAGATTCCTCTTCAATAATGTTATTTAAATTCCTATTTAAATCTAACTTATTTATTTTATCTAACTTAGGGGTCCGCGATTGCCTTGGATGGAAAATCTAGGATACTTAAAGGATACACTATATATAAAAGGAAAGCACTCTAGAAAGACCTAGGTACTTGAACATTTCTTTTGGTTCCTCTGGTGTATCTATGTCTTGATACGCCTCCGAATCTCGAATCGAATGAAGCTTTACTATGATTACAGTCGCCGAGAGCTAAATAGAAATCGTCGAGCAATGCCCTTGTATCAGGAATAGGCAATATGTCGCCATTGTTATCTTTTGCATTGGTTTGTGTTGGTTCCAAATGTCGTTGGTAAAAAAAAAAACTAATATTCCTGAATTTTTTGGCAAGTATGTCTTTTTTCATTGCAGAAGTAGTGAAGTTTTTTATCAATTGCAACATAGAGATAATATGTAATAATAAATTAAACCTTGATAATCATTCTATGTCCAAAATTTTAATAAAGTGTGACATTGTATTATAAAAAGTAAAATAAACTTGTATATTAAAATAAAGCTATAGTATTTGAATTCATTACGCGATTGATTGCAGTAGGTTAAACTTGGACATTTCTATTACTTTAGAACGACCGTCTGCCCTTGAGTAACCGGAATAATTTAGTTTTTCTTATTTTTACATCACTATAACAAGGTATTAATTTTATTCTATTCTCGTCTTTGAATATGATCTTCATATTTGTCACATTAAAAGTTTTATTATCTGAGTAACATTCAGTATACTTTTATAATTTGGTGTCTTTGATAGCAATTAAGTATCTACCAAGTATCAACAGTTTACGGCCCCGGCTATTTCAAGAGAAAAAAAGTGCTGGAAAAAATTTATTTAATACAATTAGAAACTAAAAACAGCAAAGCCGATTCGTATTTGATAGTTTAAAATCTAGGTAATGCGTATCTGGAAAAAATCGAGAGATAAGTTAGTATTATGTTCGTACAAATTCAAAATTTGTTACTGTCTAAGCTTTCAATACATTTCTTTCAGATGTCATATTCAGAAACTGTTTCCTTATCATGTGACTAACACCGATGCACGACAGAAAAACATCCATAGAGGAGAAATCTTACGGCAAACACACACATACACGGTTGAATTGAGGACCCTCAATCATGTTTAAGGTCAGTTAAAAGAATATTCATAATTTAAATCATTTCTTTCTTAATTTGAAGTGATCGTACAAGTTAACATTAATTTCAATATATTAATATATTTACAAATATTACATAATATAAAAAATAGAACAAAATACTGACAGCGTGTGATGTACTTAAACGAGTAGTCGTTGTCAAAAAAACCTTACATAATTTTGGAAAATATCTGATACTGTTACACTTCTGGAAAGATAATAAGCAAACATAGCTCAGAAACATTGTAAGTGAACTAATTGTCTTTATGTCTTCATAATTTATGGCACGCCTTTAAAATAAGAGAGTTTGCATAAAACATATTAAATATTACAAAGCTATTGAAAAGATTCTTAAACTGATAACAATTAATTGTAATTGATAAACTATCTTGAGACTTCAGAAACATAAAATTTAATTAGAAAGTCATTGAACAATATGAGTAAAGTTGTAACATTACGAAGGGAAACTAACGGCTTATTTGAATAGTATTATGCGTCATTAAACAGAATTCATGTAAAGGGTATTTCAGTGTTACAACAATAGAACAGAAATATGTTCTACATTACATAGTATTCAATGTAAAAAAATTGCTCTAAAAATAACAAAAAGTTACTCAACTCCTTCGTCTGGTTGACAGTGATAAACTTTCCCTTACCTAAGTCTATTATTACTTGAAAGTTGGAAAATTATGATTCGTTCTAGAAGAAAATGCTTTAAAGTAAAATTAATAAGATGCGTTTCTTTTATATGATAATTAACTATAGTATTAACATTGTGAGTTTCTCTGTTATAATTGACATTGATATAACGATCTAAAACATCAAACTATTAAAATGAAATTTAAAATATTTGTATGCTGCTTTGTCTGTCTAAAACTCCGAGACCAATAACTTTATTCAAATAATATAACCATCGATCATTTCAACGATGCACACAGAATTGATTGCATTTACTGAAGACATGTTATAATATGTTGATTCCTTTGAGGTGAACGTGTATGATATCTTAACTGAATCTATCACCTCGGTTATTCGAGATACTCTGATTATCTAAAACATTCTAGGCTTGCTTCGTAAATGGACTTATTAAAAATAAAATTTACTTGTTAGTGTACCAGGCAATGAAGAAGCCTTAATTAAGAAGCGATGACAAATGCATATTGTTTGAGTGTATTCTTTAAAATTCCGAATATTTGATATAAGTCAACAAAAAGGTTTACTACAATACCGCGTTGGGAGATTTTTCTTTCCGGGTATCTACATAAATGATTTGAATTCTATATTCACATATTTGTTACTTTAGTGACAATTGAAAAAACATGTGTTTATTCGGTTGCTCGTATAAATAGTTATAACGTTCTATAATCAAAGTCCGATATCGTGTATCTGTTTAGTGAATAATACTGCAATTAACGTCACGTTGTTTCTGATAATAAAACCGTAAACTCCTTATAGTTTTGCAGTTTTCGTTCCATGTATATGTTTCGAACAGCTTCTATTTTCAACTGAGTGAAAACCAACTTAAAGATATGGATTTTTAATTCAGTATTTGAAATATTACTCTTTTAGTGGACATGAATTTTGTTATATATTTCTTACATAATTTTGAACCAATTTTAGTTATTGGTTATAAGGAAAAAGTATTTAGAAGCACAACAACCATATAAATATCTTCATATATTTTATATATAAATCGACTACGGTCATACCAGAATATCTAATATCAATTTGTTTATGGATTCTCTTTATTTGAATTCGTTCTCTTACACATATTCCTTAAGTATCTAAAGATGAAAAATGTTTGCAATACGATACAATGATATAACTACAAACGTGATCTTGAAATCATTTGAAATGTCAAATAAATTTAAATTTGGATTTCAGCTGCAATTAAATAACAATTAAGACATAGTTATGTATTGTCTGGCTTGCTTGGGTATGATTTTCACAAACCTTTGTATCAAATTACGTTCATCGTATTTATGGTACCGCTATTGTGTGTTACCATATTATTCAATACTAAAAAAATACATTGTATTTTCTAATAACGGACGCTAAGTCATAACCGGATAAATGTTATAGTTAAGTAATATTTTAACATTTAATTATTAAATATATAAACATAAATATCTCTTACAAGTATTTAATAACAACATTTTGTCAAAGTTGAATTTGATAATATAAGTGATTACTTAAAATAAGTTTTTAGTTAAAACAAGTGATGTAGAAGAGATAAATACATTGGCGCTGATGGCTGTTAAAATTTCTTCAAAGATTTAAATGAATACAAAACATAAGATAATAATTTTAGTTCTTCTTTATTTTTCTACATATATGCATTCAGAAACCAATACATAAAAATGCTCCACAGTTTTTGGTTCGTTGGATTTGTCTCCGCCCCGAATAGCAGAATAAATCTTAAAAAAGAAAAACTAGACTCAAACATGTCAATTGTAATAATCGAACCGGGTTGTACCTGTCATTTGTCAAACATTTGTTGTCCATCCTGTCAAATACTATTAACGCGTGCGTTTATTAATTTATTTTGTGTAAATTAAAGATTATATTCTAGCGAAATCTATCGAAAGATATTGGAGTTTCATGTAATTAACTCACACAACAATATAACATAAAACTATAAATGTTACATTTTAAAACTGTTTTTGGATATTATTAGTTGAGATCTAGACAGATTATCGAAATACTAAAGACTTATACTATTATAGTAATAATTTAAACGTATCATATTATATAAGAAGAAGACAAACCATTGAGATAAAAAGATAAAAGATATTTTTTGATTATAGGGCAGTACGAAGTCCGCCGGGTCATCTAGTAACATATAAAATCATAATTTTGCTTATTGTTTTACATACACAAAGACTATAATATCATTCAAAGGAAGATAAATAAAAATAGTGGTCGTTTACCTATTAGATGTTTAGTTGTTTTTTGTACAAATGTTTAGAATTTATTATTCGATAGGTCAGGTTGGGAAATAAAATTGAAGTGTACATTTTACTTTTGTTTTTCATTTTTTTTTACTTCAAAATAATTTTTGTTATTTATATAAATGTATTCCTGTTCTTGAAAAAATATTTATAAAATATTGCGCATGTTAATGTTAAATTGTAATTTATGTTAATAGGATTCGCTAAATTTCTTACTATTTGGTCACATCTTTGGATTTATCGTCGCTACGTGCATAAGATTCGTAACTCATAACAATATGTATTCCATTGGTTCAGACCTACTAAGGTATTCGGTTCTAGTCAACGTTGCCAAAATTTATTGTGATACAACTTATGAACAAACTTTCTATAAATGGCTCTCGCTTGTAATATTACAATGTTATGTATATTACTTTTGTCGTAATATTTAGCTTGTGTTAGACTTCTTTCATAATAGCATAACAACTACTATTTCAATATATTAAACCGAACTGTAGTGTTTTAAAAAAATTTAATTACTATTTTGTTATAAACAAATATT